CCCCAAAACCCCAAAACCCCAAAACCCCAAAACCCCTTCTCAGAGTGGAAATATTGAATAAACTGATTATCTTAGATGTCTGATGTTAAAAGAATGAGGTCTCATGATTGGAGGGGCTGGTGGAGAGTCAATCTCTTCTTCTGATGATGGATTAGAAGCAGTTGTTTCATCTACAGGTGATGGATCTGATTTCTCCTTCTTTCTTTGCTCATAATCTTCATCATCAGTTGGTAGCTCAAATCTTCACGTTGGACAAGAATTATGTTTCTCGAGCCATGGCATGAGACAATCTCCATGAAAGATATGCATGCATGGCATTCTAATTAGTTCTCCTTCTTCTGGCTCAAAATCTTCTTTACAGACACTGCAGTCATTAGCTTCTCAGTTATTTTTAGCTTCTTCAAGATTTGCTCACTTGAAATCCTGTCAATCAATATTTTTAGAAAGGCTTTCATAAGACCCTCTCTGCAGGTCTTGGATAGCTTCCTTAGAAGCAGGTGGAGCTCCATAATTATTAGGATCATTTCTCATAATCTGGTCAATAACATTATCCATCGACTGTTGAGCTACTTGGTCAGCAAGTTGGTCTCCAATAACCCCACTTAGCATACCTGCTAAATTACTAAACATCAAGTCAAATGCAGCGCTATCCAGGGTGCCTTCATCCTGGCGGTGCCTCAACCCTTCTGCACCTAATCTTGGATGATCTATCGCTTCTACTGTATACGCATCCCTCTGGTCGTACATGTCACGAATCTCTTCTTGTGGCTCATCTTGATCTTTATACTCAGATTCTTCAGCTAAAACCAGAATCAGCTTCAAGTTCACTAACAAAATTGAGAAAAAAATTACGAAGAAATTTTAGAATTTTGCTGGAAATGGGGCTGCCTGTAGGTTTTGAAGAAAAATTGTGAGGACTTGGGAAAATAGGAATTTCAAGGAAAAATTGAGATTTTAGGGGAAATAGAAAAATTTAGATCACATTTTAGGATTTGAGTGGGAGATTATGAGAGTGGAATAGGAGCTAAAAGGGATTATGGGGTGTTAGCAAAGTTTGGGTGGTATTGGGATCAAGGGCTTATGAATAATAATCAGAAATTTTCTTATTAAACCGTTATGAGGGATACGAATAGGACTTACGGAAATCGGTGTCAACTTCTTCACAGAAAAAGCTCAAACAGTGGGTGCATTTTATTTCTTCAGAAACTTGTGTTCTGAATTCTCCCCTACAGTTGTGGCAGTAGAAGCGTTTTGTTTGAATATTCATTTTCTAACTGATAGTTCTATTTTGTATATAAATTAGGGGTTTTGGGGTTTTGGGGTTTTGGGGTTTTGGGG